ATAAAATTTGTTTTAAATTATCATCCTGGTGCTTTAGAAATATAGTGAAACCAGAAATTCTTCCTGTAGATGCTCCGATTGCTCAACAAGAGAAATATAATGAAGCTGTTAAGAAGTTTCAAAATGCAAACACTAGTGCTATGATGGCGTTAACGAATTCCATGACAGAAGAAACTCTGCAAAAAGTTATGAGATTTCAGATTGCTAGAGAAGTGTTGTTGGAATTACATAAGTTATTTGAAGCATTATCAGAAAATCAATTATATAATATATGCATGCAATTTTTTCAATTCAAGTAGAATGAAAATGATAATATGGCAGCTCATCTTTCCAAATTAAAAAAAACTTATGGAATGAGTTTGAATTTCAGGACTTGAAAAGAAAAATGAAAATAAGTTACCTGACATGCTACTCAATTGCAAGATTTTAGATGTCTTACCAGGACAATACCATTTGTTTAAGTCAAGTTGGTTACTCTTGGGTGAAGACAAAAGAACAGTTGATGAGTTAACAGCACAGCTTTGCTCTCATGAAAACAGAATTTAAAAGTCATGAGAAAGGCAATACAAATGAACAAGTAGCATGGCATAGTAATGTCAAAATCTGAAAAAACAAAAGCAATATAAAAAAGGACAAATTCAGAAGAAGAAAACCAAGAAAAGAAGATATTTGCAATTATTGTAAAAAAGAAAGGACACTGGGTAAAAGATTGTAAACAGTGGATTGCTGATGGAAGACCACCCAAGAATAGGTTAACGAAAAACCAATGAAGGAAATACAGGCAGTGTAATACTGATGTCCATTGACGAAGAGCCTGTGGCTAAGACTGATCAAACATCTTTTTGGATTGATAGTGGAGCTACAAGACATATCATGAATTGTTTCACATACTTTATTGACTTTATGAAGTTTGATAGTGCCCTGTAGCATCAAGGCTGCTGGAAAAGAAACTTTAGTTGCTCTTGGTAAAGGTACAGTATGTGTCAAAACAACTATTGGTAGTAAAATCCAAAGAATTTACCTTAAAGATGTTTGGTATGTCCCTGAGATAAACAGAAATTTATTTTCTTTACTTGCTGCTCAAGATAGAAATCCGAATAGTAAATTTATTTCAACAGTTACAGAATGCTGGTTAAAGGTTAATGGTCAAGTAGTGCTTTTTGGAACTCGCAAAGTATATGGTACTTTATACACAAGGCAGCTATCGAACCTATTATGCCTGATAAAATTATAGAAGTGCATGCTGCTGAAGCAGACAATCCCTTGTTAGAGTTATATCATCAGAGATGGGGACATCAAGATAAACATCACATTAAGAACATGCTTGAGAAAGAATTAGAAATTAAAATCCCATTTGAAAGAAAATTGTGTGAACCATGCATTTTTGGCAAAGCACACCGTTTACCATATGGCATAAGAAAGCCAGCCAGCAAGCCTGGTGAATTAATTTCAGCTGATGTCTGTGGACCTTTTCATGAATCTTTCACTCAGTTGCTTTCAGACGTCCAAAATCACTTTTTTTGTTCATATAATGAAATATTAAGCCAAGTTTCATAAAAATCGTGAGAAATATTAAGAATAAGTAAAAGACGGGAGAAATATATTGTAAATCGGGTTGGCGGGAGAGCGGTTGAAAATTGAGAGTCTCCCGCCTATATCGGGAGAGTTGGCAACTCTGAATTGAGAATCAAAATTTTTTCATTCACAACAATCTCTCTTCCACTCTTTTTACTATTAGGAACAATATTTTCTGGATTTAGAACCATACTGCAGATTTTGTTGTCTGTTAGTTGATTGATTATTGGAGGACTGTCATTACAAAGAAAGACTTCTGTCATATCATCTTAACTTAGTGCTTCTTCTCCACATTTCTTCACAAATTCCATTCAGCAGAAAATTGTACTCTTTTTACTTCTTTACTTTTTGTTTGCAATATCTTGAAAGCATTCAAATTTGCAAACATCATCATAAAGCATCTGTTATACACTGCTGATGATGTACCATGAGACTGGCGACTAAAAACACGTTGTTCTGTTAAATTTTGTCTAACTTTTATCGTGAGCTGAAAAAGTTAAGCCTGAATTATTCTGTTATTTATGTCTATTTCCCACTTATGCTTAAGGATTACCCGAACAACAACAACAACAACAAAAAAAAAAAAAAAAAAACAATTATTCTTAATTTAAGCAACATTAAATCTTACGGCTTATGAATATCATTTAAAAAATACATTTTTTTTGCATATAGAAAGGAATTTCTGTTATATTTCTCCTTATCAACATGCTCAACACTTCATACTGCAGTTGGCAGAAGTCTGTAATCATCGCAAGCGAAATGTCCCATCATAAAGTGAAGTTTACTGACAAAATTTAAGTGTGTAAATGATGAGGATTGAACCTTATTAAAAACTTCGATATAAAACTAAGAATTCTTAAATTATTTTGAAAATGAAGTAAACTTCATACAATGGTTCAAATAATTTTGAACATGTGTAGTAAAAATGATATAAAATTGTGCTTTGAATGTAGCAAATCTGAAGTACTCTGGTAGTAGATACTATTATTATTTATTATTATACTGAGCTTTAAATTATGGAATATTTAAAAAATTGAATAATTGTGATAGTTTATATGACTAATGCAAATAAAAAGTGAAATTAATTTGATATTGCATTTAAAGAATGTTATAATTAATTGTGTAACATATAAATGAGTACATAGAGAAGCCCGTTTTTACCTTTGTGTAACTGTTCCTTTTAACCTCCTCACAAAATATAAATTTTAAAGGCTCCCACTTTGTGAAAAAGTGAAATTTTTTATATAGAATTTTCATTTTTATTTTTTCATATAACACAGTGTGCTTTTATTAATTTATTTTATATATAATGGAATGTTTTAGTAGAGTTCGCAAAGGCCAGTTACCTCATGCAAGGAACAGAGGTCTTTACAAGTAACTGTTGAGCACCCCTTAAATTCTGATGAATATTAATACATCAGTTAGTTCAAGAGGATATGCCCAATAAATGGAAATGAAGAAGGCTGTGAGGAATAAAAATATGAAGAAAAATACTTGGAAAATGCTGTGAGGCTTCCAGTTTACACAAAATATGAAAATTAAAAATGTTATACTAATAAAAATATAATTTCAGTAATAGTATTACAAATGATGTTAAAAGTGCAACTTATAGCAATGAAATTTAGTCATAAAATTTTGAAATTTGTTATGATTATGCAAAATAAGTAATGTACGTATATAATTTTTACATCTGTAATATTGTTTGAAAAGGCTTCCCTGAACAAATATGATTACATGGACAGACTTTTGGATTGAAAATTTAACAGGGCTCTAAAATATCATCAAAATTTATATTTTGCAATTATTTAAATAATTATTTTGGTTGAAATTTTATGATATGTAATTTTAAAATTATGTTTCTCTTCAACTCCTAACGCTTTACCACTTTCTCTCTCAAAAAGGCTTCTCTGTCACTAAGGCTGTTTCTTTCTGAAGGGGGAATTGTGTAAGATAAAAAATATGTAAATCAAAATTATAATTTAAATTAGCAATAGCCCCTTAATTTTTCAGTTTTATTTGGGTATTTCCCCTCTCTATTCTAAAAATAGTAATAACATTTTCAGGACTGCATTATTTCTAGATTAATTCGTATTGTATGACTTACATAATGCTGACAATGGAGCTAATTCCATAACTCAAAATATCAAGAACCGAAACCTTTTTCTAAATGAGCTAGACTAGACAAAACACCGCAAACAAAGTAATAGTTCAAGGCACACCAACCAAAAATACTTCTTGGTAAAAGATGAATATGAAAGAATTAAATTATTCCTCAGTTCGTGTTAGCAAAATCAAGCAGACATTTTGACAAAATATCTACCTATAATAAAATTCAAAAATGAACTTTTAAAGTATGAGTACAACTATGTAATTAAGTTTTTGAACACAAGTAAGGCAGGAATCAACAGCACTTGTTTACAAAAGTATAATTTTAATCTTAATATTTGGTGACATTAACATTTTTCTTGATTGCAAAAGACTGAAATAATGTGCATCAGCACAGAATGTTATGATTTTTAGAGAATGTGGTATTCATTACCACATTCTTTAAAAATGAATGAAATGTTCTAAAATCATATTTAATAATATTTAAAAATAACTAAATTCTAAATGTTCTAAAATAACATTTCTATGATGAAATGTTCTAAAATAAAATATTTATACATTAATTTTGAATGTTTTGTTTTTAGGTACGTGTTTGTAAGAATATATAACATTTAGAAATCATCAACACCTCTTCTTAACAGTTTCACTGTTGCCTTTTTGCCCTATTTTGTCTACTGGATTACCATTTTACACTGATGATGGATTCTTTCATTCTTAGAAGTCGAGTTTTCCATTTAAATTTCTCGTTAAGCGACAGTGATTCATCGCTGTTCGGTATTTTCTTAGTTTAAAATTCTTTGTCGACACTGTAAATACAATACAAAATTGATATAAATGGAGAATTTTAGTCAAATGAAAAAATAGTTTAGAAATAGAATTACAGAATGAAGGAGAAATCGCAGTTGCCACAATTTTGTACCACAAAATTTAAGTGCACACATGGTAAGAACATTTCACACATATATGCAGGTTAAAGGTGAACATCTGTCATAGTCAGGTTAATATTCTATAATTTTAATGCAATATAAAAATTGTTTTGCCTTCATTGTGTTTTTTAGTTTTTGTCATTTCGAATGTTTTTCTTATCATTTTTGAAGTTTTTGTACTTTGATTATTTTGCACTATTTTCTCCGTGGTGCACAGCATACATCACACATTACAAAAGGAAAATTTATGATATGCAGCCTGGTATTATTGCTTAGTTTAAATACAATACTCTATTTTTACAGTTCACGCAAACAGTATGTACAGAACACATAAATTTAGAAATAATGGATAGTGTGTAAGGTCAATTTCTTTATGGAAGAAAAAAAGTTTACCTCTCCATTTAACCACTGAATTTCAGGTGAATTGATTCTGAAAGGTTGGTGAGCTGGGCTTTCAGGTGGAGTACTTTGTTTTGGAGTAGCAGGAAGGAGATCGACACTGAGCGATGATGTATTTGATACAGAATCATATAACTTACTTTTATTTGGAGTAAGCCCAAAATCTGCATATGGAAGAAAAATTAGATGATAACAGCATATAATTATGTGTGACAGATGTATGTACACATTAATCCATAAGTTATCAGTATTTCTAGTATTAATATAAAATATTACCAAATTAATTAATTTTGATTTGTAGATTTTAAGCCTTATGTATTGAAGTACATTTATATAGTACGTTCTCGACACTGCAAATATCCTGATCACTATTTTTTTTTTAAATGTCACAATAGCTTAAAACGTATTTATTGACATAATAATTTTTAAAAAGTACTTGTTACATTGATTTATATTTTGGTTTAAAAAAATCTCTCAGGAAACCATTACCTTTTGATAAGAAAGATTTTGTTTTATCAGGAACCCAACATCAACTCTGCTTTCAGGAAGAAGAAAAGTGCAACTTTCTTGCCAATTATCTGATGTTACCATGTATCTCTTTCTTAAATATTGTTTGTCAAACTTACACAGCAAAAAAGTTGTTACACATTTAATGAAAAACCTACTTCATTAATTATGCAGATGCAAAGAAATTTGCATAAATTACACTTCTCATAAGACATTGTTTTCATTCCATTTCTTTGGATGTGCTTCATCATTCATATATATATATATAAATAAAAAGTCTTAAAAAAAAGAAAAATTGAAATTTTGTTTAAAGATAAAAGATGTTCAATAAATGTCCTAAATGAATATGAAGTGTTAGCTACAGCAAGCTAAGCATAATGACATTAATATTGTAAAAACTATCACAAGCATGAAAGGATATAAGATGAAAACAGTACTAATATTTGTAAAAATACTATTTCAGAATGTTTTAAATTTAAATAAGCACAGATATATTCACAGAAAAAAAAAAAAAAATTGTAACATACACACACACACACACAAAATAAAGCTCATACGGCAGATTATTATTTTACTTTGTCTACTGCTGGCAATTAAAACTGCTATATCATGAATGAATGCACAAGCCTGAATGACGGATGAGAGAAAAAATTACTGGAATATGAAAATTGATTAGCATTTCATGGGTTCCACACATCATAGGCAACAGTAATTAATCTTCTAATAGTACAAAAAGGCAGGATCAAAATGCTGCGCTAGAAAGGAATACATAACAGCATGTCTCAAAAGCGGAAGAACTGAAATTTTCTGAGACTGCTGATAATCAAACTGCACAACTGCCACTCAGGTCAATTGGGATTCAGCAACTCTTGTAAGAATCTGGTATCAAGAAGTCTAGAAGGGCCACACACAGAGGTGTGTGGGATTTAAATGGCTCCACTTACCAATGCCCAAGATGATAAACAACTTGTTTGTACTGCTTACTGCTGTTAAGGATCATATCAAGTTGGATGTGGCTAAGTGGCTTGCTTGTTTAGACCACTGCGTACAGCAGTTTGTTCCATTCAATTCCAGGTCATGACTGGTTTACATGATTAGTTTTCATGATTTCCTCCATGTGTAATGTTAATACAAGCTAGTTTCACATAGCAAATTCCTCCATGAGAGCATCCCTCCCCTCAGGCAGACAGCTTCTGTAAGCTTTCTCACATTCAAATAACCTAACCTAAACCTGAGTCAGGAAGATGTGCATATTGTACAGAAACAGTTAACCACATCCATGGTTACAATGATGTCTGCACAGACAGATTGTCAGCAAGCCAGGCACTGCTTTTATATTTCTTGATGCTATAGTACAGGAGTTGGTACCTACCTAAAAGAATGCACATGGATGCATCAATGGAATGATGTCCTCTCTTCTAACTACTTCCAATGAGCTGACAGAAATGCAACAGAAACCTACATTTTTTATTGCCATATCACCTATGCCTGCCCTAACAGTGGATTCTACAGATCTCTCATCAACTGAAAACTTACAATCAATAGTTGCGGAGACTTACATGACAACAACTACAAGCCCGTATACGAGATCAGCTCAGACATACAATTTGGACTGTACATAATATTTCCAAATCAGATGAATGCTGGCCTCTATTTTGCCACAGGTGATGTTCAGGCAACTGATTTTTGCATTTTTGTACTTTGGAAAAAGCCTGAAGTTTTAATCATTTTATTCTTCAGTCTGATATATTTATAAAATAAATATAGTTTTTCTAATTGCTTTCCTTCATGGTGTAGCAATTTTAATGGCCACCAAAGCATTTCCTTCATAAATGGTTTGTTTTTATCTGGTACAAACAGCAGCACAACATGCAGATGCATCATATCTATAATTTTAAAATAGTATTTGCTGTGGGAACTATAGACCAAATTAATTACAGAGTGGTTTGAAATTTCACAAGACATTCCTGGATGCATGGGTCTCATGGACTTACTCAAATGCAGCTCAAAGAAGTTATATAAAGACAAAATTTTGTGCTTTCTGAGACCAATGGAAGTTTTGCACCTTAGCTATATGTCTCACAAGCTATGTCTGAATGGCAGAGACAAGGTAGGATGATTTAAGGTCTTATTGGAAGAAACGAAATCATTCAGTATGCATAAAGACCAAGCAAGGCTGTGTGTGATCACCAATGAAACCCAACACATACAGATTTCTGGACACAATGAGGGAATAGTGCTCTCCAAAAGATGGATCCCAGAAGCTTCACAAAGGCATCATCGACAGAACTCATCAGGCACAGCTAGTCCATGGTTTCATACCGTTGATAAGACACTACCTCCCCAAATGATATATAGTAAAGAAGAATTATCCATTTCCTTATTTGGACAATGACACAAATTAGTGCCACTTTGCAAAATCTCAGATCTGACATTCTTTGTGCTAAGCAAGGTGCATTGTCTTATTAAGCTGCAAGCAACAGAACATAAGTAACATGGTTTCAGTACCTGCAGCTATGAATCTGAAGTTGGCTGGAATCCAGTTAAGACTAAAAACAGAAAACAAGGGATAAATAATTTATTGCAATGGAATTTTGTATGCAGATGCAAAATATAAAACAGCCAGCATTAATGTAACAAAATAAATGTGGAATAAACGTTTTTCAATATGTATTTGAAACCCAAAATGGCCAAAACATGACTCAAGGTGTTTCCAGAATGGTCTGGATAATAAGTAATGTAACCATCCAGAACAGCTTTACATGTTTCACTGCTAGCTTTCATACTGTAAATGAAGCTGTTTCTCATAAAAATTTGTAACAATAAATCCCATTCTTCTAAAAGTGGGGATTTCAGTGCCTAGAGGGTCTTAGGAGGATCCTGAGAGCATGTAATGGCTAATGGTTTTGTTATGTCTCTACAGCATAACAAACATACTACACAGCAGTGGTTTCAAATTGAAATTGCATGTGGGGCAAACACTCAATATGAAAACTGCTGGCAGGAAATTGTTTTCTGACAAAATGAAAAATTCTCTTAACAAAAGTAAAGTATTTTATATAAATTTCACACTTTGCTTACTAAATATTTATCACAACATACATAAACAATACAAATAATATTGCGAAGGGAAAAAAAATATTTTCTATCTTAAATCTAAAGTTTGGTACTTTCCATTGGCTCGAATTTCTAATTTAAATACATTGGCAGTGGAAAATTTAATTGTTAGATTGACATTTCTTTAAAATAAATCTAACATGTTTAATTAATCCTTAAATAACTCACTTAAAATAAAAAAAAAAAAATTATGAGTTTTCAGAGAAACTTTACTAAGTGGTACAAAACTTCAGAATATACAATAATAACCCAGTCTCTTACTTAATAAATTTTTCTTCAATGCATAAATAAAAAATGTCTTTATTTTTTACTATAGTTTGACAGAACGCAAAAGACAAGAAACCCAGACTCGGAAACCTCTAGAGCCTGCCATTCGGGGTTGAATATCCAAGCTTCTGTGACCCCCTTCAGCAGCAGTGCAGACCCCACAGCCCCTGCCCAGCTTTATATAGAACAAGGTAGAAAAACGCTATGAAATCTTTGCCTCTGGCCACCACTCCTTTGGCATCAAAATAATGCTTGGTGTTTTGTCCGCTCTGTCAGTCCCCGCCACTGGGACTCTGGGGGCCAAACCCCTGTCAAGTAGGTCGGTGATCTCCACTCTAGCTCCACCACAGACAGAGGAACAGAAACGACAGTGCCAGTAAGGTGCCTGCCAAGCCTGAACCAACCTTAGAATGTCCTGTGAAGTCAAATTATGTACCCCTGTGGTTGAGACTGCCTAAGTACAGTTCCTAGCCAGTACTTCACAGGAATTCTCCTGAGTCAACCCCTGAGGGGGGAAGCTATAGTTTGAGAGTTGATGGCATTATGATACGGACAAAGTTTGTTTCCTTACAAAAAATTACTACAAATTATATTCATCACGGATTGTAGATGTTTTCAGTCAGCAATCAGGTTCTTTTAATTTTCAACTGTGGAAAAAAATCTGTTCACATATAAATGTGTGCCACGAGAAAGCAATTATTCTTGGTGCATAAACTCATACTTTTTAACAAGCACAAATTAAAGTTAATAAACTGTATCTTCAAACAGCATTTATATGCAAATTAATTAACACCATTTTAATGATTTTCTAGTACATTATTCATGTTTATTTTTAATGGAAGTGAAAATTATGCAAAGTCGGACTTCAGATACTAAAATCTTGAAATCATTGCAACACCATATTGGCAAAACATATGTAATTGAAATGTTTTTGTGGGCCCCACATAAAATTGCTTCGGGGGCCACCAGTCTGAGAGCACTGCTACACAGTATTTTGATTGAGTGGCATGGATACACCATCTGCTAAATACCCTTTTCCTCTACAAAATTATTGACCAGTTGGGGTCTGCGTAGCCATTACTAATAGTCTATAAAAATTAAGAAACATCATCTGAAAGAACTCTTTGGAAAGCTTCATGCAAGATTCAAGAACCTAATCTTTTTAATGCTACACAATCATCACAAACACAGCACCAAAAACATATAATAATGTGTGGCTGTTCAGCCTGATGCCTCCCTACACAAGGATTCCTATCCTACCAAACAGGTCAATCTCCTTTATGATGTAGGGGCAATATACATAAGGGACCAGGGGTCCTCAAGGATATAGCAAGCTCCATTCTCTAGATAAAAGATTCCCTGACTACTGAATCTCATCACCAAAGGAATGGCCCCAATATTGCTGTGTCTAAATGGTGTGTCTGGTTACATAAAAATCAGGCTCTTTTATATGATCTATTGAAAAAGACACACATCTCTGTTTACCTAGTGTAAAGGGCCTGTTTTACTATGTATCACAGGCCCCTTACACTAGGTAAGCAGTCTAAAAACTGTTATTCTAGATACAACAGTGATAACTTGTAGGAGCTCTCTAGTCATCATATGTCAAAGGTATTATACATTTAATGCCACATGGTTGTGCTCTGTAGATACTGCAGCTTTTGAATGGTCTTGTTTGTACCACCAGGAAACGTAGTCATAGTTTGGAATTAGTACCATAACCTGGGTACTTAGGTACTTGCAACTATCCCACAAGCTCTGCTTAAAAATGGCCATCCTCAAGCCTATTCATAATCTAAATGATTACATGAACTGGGTTCAATTAAGTCAGACAATCTAGTGATTTTCCTTGATGGCAATACAATTCTTTTACACAGTCAGAAACCAATTATTTCCTCTTTTCTTTAAAAATGTATTATTTTAAAGATAATTAGATAAATCCAGTTTCCAATTTATACAAAAAACACATTTTAAAAATATTAGTGGTACCTATTTTGAATTACTGCAAAACATATGTTTAATTCTGAACATGACAGTATATATCCTATCACTTCCATAAAAACATTCCTGAGGGTTTCAGTAATAAAGCTAGTTTAGCATAATTGAAGAATTATTTGAGAAGCTAAAATTTGGTGTATTGCATTAATGAAAGTGCAAAAAAATATGAAATAATAGCATGCTGAAGACTTAGAAGTTTTAAAAATAACAAACAACTTTTCTTGTTACATTAAAATTTTGTTTCATACTCAAGAGATAATACACAGCATATACATTTACAATTTGCAAGCTTGTGTACTATTTTGAAAATACATGACATACAATTCATAATTAAAATTTGTACAAAGCAAAGTACACTATTTGTACAATTCATAATTAGAACTTGAGCAAAGCAAAGTTAAATCAAATTTCTGAAATCATAAAATAATCACTGTTGAAAAACATGATCAACTTATTCAGGAATATGATTTAAAAAATTACATTACCATCCAAAAATGATGCTGATGCTATTGGAGACATACTGGAAGGTAAAGGATTTGAAGTTTCTGGTATTGATATATGGGGAAATGAAACAAAATTTTCATCATATTTATTTGAATTTGTAGATGACACAGACAGCAAGTCCAAATTTAGTGCCTAGAAATAGCAATAAATTACCTTTTTAATTATCATTTTTATGCACTTGTTTTAACTTACAAAGTAGCTTCCTAAAGCAGAATTTAATAGCTGTTTTATATATGTGTATATATATATATATATATATATATATATAATTGAAGAAAATTTTATGGATGAACTAAAACAGCAAGGACTTGGGCAGAACAGTTTCACTTCTTACTAAGAAAAGTAACGGATATGTAAATAACAGGAGGACTACAATCATACATAATGAAAGAAAGTTGATGACAGAAATAATATAGTACAAAGTCTGTAATCAAGATGTCCATTATTCGGAATGATCTATAATCCGGACCTCAAAGCCACAAACCTTTTTCTTTTGTATGCTTTACGCATGCGCATATAGAATGCACAAACATTACACGCCCTATACTTCCACAGTCATAACACCTTGATTCTTCAGAAATAGTTTACACCCATACAAAACAATTCAGAAATAGTTTTACACCCATACAAAATAATTTTTTTACTATTTTGATCTGGTATGCCATTGATTACATAATCAAGAATTGATGAATCATCAACAGAACCGTGACTTGCTATTTCATGCATGGTTATTAAATATTCGGAAAGGGATTCAGCAGGTTTTTAAGTGTCGTTTAAGTCTAGATATAGTCTAAATGAACCGCATTTTTTTTTTCTTAGCATGACATTACTTGCATAATCAGAACAGCTTGGCTTAATGATTTGTTTCTCTAACCATTAAGAAATTTGTTTATCAATATCACGCTGCTCTGTTGGGGGGGGACGTCGTGGTGCAATGAACTGGAAGTTGATCTGTCAGCACTGTCCTTATCTTCAGGGCAAATGTTTTTATTTTATTTGGCTTATAATTCCTTGCTAAATGTAGTATTTCATCTCGATGTACTCCATCTTTGATATGATTTAAATCGATTTCCTCGTCATAAATATCACGAATACACATCAAATAGTTTTCTGGTTCCAATTTTCTAATTTCGACTATGCGTAATGTATGCTTTAAGCATGCACGCGTTGAAAGAAATCTTTAATAAAGTAAACAAATATTTTTTTTTTGTAAAATTTTATACCATTTAGATCATAATTGCTCTTTATTTCATAAATTATGGATTCATATTTTTAATTGTATAATTTCTGTACGCCATCTTACCAGATTTAAATTGATGATCTATAATTCGGAAAAGTGCCTAATCCGGAATCGCCGAAGTCCTGACGAGTGCGGATTATGGACTTTGTACTGTACAATGATACTTTTGTTAAAAATTATAAAATAATTTATATCATTATTTAAACTTAACTACTAGTTCACCTTATGATTTTCAACTTATGTTTTTGTTTCACTTTTTCCTCTTGTGGATTGGCAAACTTGTTGAAGTAAAAAATGTGGATAGAATGTAAAGCTACACTTACTTGGTGTTTCTTTGTTAGCAATGCTAATTTTAAGCTACATTTAACTGAATAAATAGTTTTTAACTTTTAATACTATTATATTCATTCATCTGGAGAATTTGTAGTTCATTTGAGTGATTTAAAAGGCGTCTGTAACTTTGTTTTGCTGTTGTTTACTGGCGTCGAGTGACAGAACTTTACTTCTGATTCAAAATGATGTTTCAAGCAGCAAAGGGGGATAATGTGTCGTATTACCAAAACAGTATGCTTAGTGTTCTAAGCCTTCTCAGGATTTTGTTTTATTCACTGTGATTGAAACTAAAATTTCCATTTTTTGCACCAAACATCTTAATTTTTAATTTGGATATAAATTTATGTCACACCTTTACTTGGTTATTTGTCATTGTGGATGTGAATCAGCCAATTTTGGATCCTTAAGAAATACTGATTGTTTGTCATCATGTGGAAAATCGTTAAAGAGTTTGTTTGATTTACGCATACCTGTACTTCTTGGTGATTCTAAATTTGATAAATTACTAGCTGAGTATCCTGAACTTGGGAGGTTTAATCTATTTATTTTTAACTAATAGTTCATTTTAAATTAAAAAGCCTTTCCTATCATTCTCTTTTCACCCACGCTTTTCATGCCAGAATGTATATAAGATAGCAAGAGAGTATTCAGATTAAGGTAGAATTAAGTGCTATTTAAGCAAGAGTTTTGGAAGTTAGTTTTAGAGTGTTTCTGCATATTCCAGGCCCCGTTGAGCTGAGATTATTAGAAACTTGCGTTAGCGTGTTGATGTGTTCTCGGCTTTAGGCTTGTCTCGTGGGTTACTGGACCAGAGTTCTTTCTGTACATTAAAGCATTCTGTGAGCCATTAGACTAACCTGCAAACATTGAAATTATTATTTGTTATGTAGTTCTGCTATTGGTTTTCTATTTCTGTTATAGGTTACCTATTTGATTTGGTTTATTTGATTATGGCAAAGCACTTCAGGGCCATTTGCCTAAGGGGAGGGATGCCTTCATGAAGGACTTTCCAAAGGAAACTGGCTTGCATGCATATTAAACACCTTGAGTCTATGGGAATAGTAAAACATATTTGTTTTTAGAATCAAGCTTTGGAAACAAAATCTCAAGATTTCAGAAGTAGTTAAAACAGTCAGTCTGTTTTGCCAAACACCGTCATATTTCCTTAATTTGTGTTTTCTTATGTACAACCTTTTAAGCAACTAATTTACTTATCATTCCGTATTTTTAAATAAGCTGATTCCCATACATGGATTCTAGAAATATATTGAGTTCAAAGGTCAAATACCTTCATTTTAAGAATTAAATTAGCTTATTATAAATAACTCAAGGTAACTGCATGCTGTTTTGCAAACTTGCCTGGATGCAGTCATTATGTTATAGAATATTATATATGGTATAAATTTAGTTTCTGAGCTTGGTGTTTTAGGTAGTTTTGAAGCTAACCTACATTCAGCTAAATAAACAGATAATTATCAACATGAATCTTTTATGGCCACAAAGCATTTTTAAATAGCTCAATAACTTTATTACAAGAGAAGTGTGGTTTTCCAAAATTAAGTAGACTGATAAGTCCCATTGGCTATAGCAAAAGCAAATATTTAACACAAGTTCCAAAAGTTGAATTTCATCCTGATAAAATTATGCACTTCATCTGAGTGGATGCAGTTGGAATAACATACTACCAAATACTCCCAACCAGAATCATAACAATCATAAAAAGTACTGTACTTTGTTAAGAAATCCTAACAAAATACCTGCAGCACAAGAAATATCCATTTTTCAAGAGCAAATGTTACGCAAATGTTACATTTAAAAATAACATTTACAAAGTAATTATAACTTATTAGAAACTAAAAACCAGGATAAAACAATTTATTACTTTCTCATTTTTTGCCAATCAGGAAATTTATCTAGTAGCTGATACTGAATCATTCATTTAGCAGTAGAAATGACATCTTCATCAATATATTTCAGCCAAAAAACATTCTATGTAAACTTGGATTAATTCTGTATTCAGAAATAAATTATTCACTGAACAAATGCAATAATATTTAACAATAAAAATTGAAAAATAATGAAAAGTATTTAGAAAACTCTTACGTCTAGGGTAGAAGATGTTGCAATTTCAGAATCGGATATTATAGGGAGGCTTTCCATAACAGCTGAACTCTCTTGGTTTTTTATAAGAGAAGTTGTAATTGTAGAGCTGACAGGTGTCAATCGACATGAGATATTTTGATCACTTAAAATCTGAATAGAATTTGCTGAGGTAGAATTCACAAGAACATGTGAGGCTGGTACTGAACTTTGTTGTAAAATCATATTTGGAACAGGATCTGTATGAACTTGTTTAATTACTGGCACCTGGATCGGATGCATGTCAATAGATGATCCTATATAAACAAGAAAATCAGACTAAATTTCTCACATTACAAGAAATGTTTAATGCTGCAAAATTTCTGGCTTAAGTTCCAAACAAATCATTAGAAAACATATATCATCGAAATAGTTACTATATAACATGCACATTATCAGAACAGTGGCTGGAATTTTTATTAGTTGTACATGTTTAAAAAATATAAATTATAAGGAAATGAAATAATGTAAGAAATCTAATTATTTTCAAAATATCACTCTTATATACTGATGGATCAGATAAAATTAGCATGAAAGTATATTTTTAATACGTTGGCTGCAGTGCGCATTTTACGTGGTTTGCCCATGGCGGCAATATGTTTTTTTTTATTATGCGATGCATATTATGCTGAAATATTATCTAAGGAAGATAAGATGAGTTATATAATTATTTTAAATGTTTTTTCCAAGGTGGGGATGCGCTGTGGATAATTTTTACGACTTATTATTTAAGTTTTTGCGATTTATTATTCTTCAAATCATTATAGTAACAATGGTGTTATTTAAAATTTTATTAGTATTGATATTTACTCTAATTCTGTATTTTTATTATTGGTCGCATCTCTGGTCACCAGTGGCCCCCACGGCAGTCGGCGCATTAAGAAAAGTAGTATCAAGATCTGCAAACATATTTTGAGAGTGGAATGAAAGACATAGAGATGAAATTATGTGCTTATAAAATTTTCATATAAATAATATATTACAATGTATATTTGAAAACTGGGCATTTATTAAGCCTAACAATATTCAAAATTTAATCGTCAACAGAAAAAATTCTACCAATAATAAAAATATATAAAGTGTCAGTTATTTGACTTTTAAATCTATAAAAAATACGACTATTACTAGGTTATTCAATTATTACTAGGTTATTTTAAAGCACTATTCTTTTACATGCACAAATATATTTATTTAAAAAAAATTGACAAAACATTTTTACATATTTTAAAAAGATGCAGTTTCCGAATTTCAAAACAGTGACAAATTACTACAGCCTGATGCAGACTGACAAGGGCAGTTACTACAGGACATAACATATACGGTTTCCTTTCTGATCTCATACTGAATATTGATAATAAAAAAAATTAAAGTTCTTGCTGCATCAGCTATATTTCCTTTGTATTTAAGTGAATTTCCATAGATCAGGATTTTTTAGAAATTTCCATACAAATAGTGTCAAATTCCAAGTATATTTGACAACAATGACAAATTCCTACAGCCTAATGCAGACCGAGAAGGGCAGTTACTACAGGAGAAACATATACGATTTTCTTTCTGATCTCGCACTCATTATTGATAACAAATAAATTTAAAGTTCTTGCTGCATCAGCTATACTTCCTTTCCATTTAAATGAATTTAAATATATCAGAATATTTGACATTGCTTATTTTACCATACAGAACAGTCACACTTAAAACATCTCAACAAGTAAGCAACTTTAAAGTCCATAAAGGAACTAACAAAAGAGAAAACAAATCATCATACCTGAAGACTATAATTAACATATTAGAAACTAAACACGCATTATTTACATTATGAATATTTACTGTGTGCTACACATAGCCAATATATTCATAGTACTGTAAATTATAATTAAATACATTTGCTGCACAAAATGACTAAAGTCATCATCTGCACAGTGCAGCTAATTTAAGTTCTTTCAGAAGTCTCAAGTTTTAAGCAAATTCACAAAACAATTCTTTTGACTAGACAACCATTTGTTTTGCTTTTAGATATCTCAACAGATAAATTACATAACTTTTAAACTTAAGGTTAAAAAAAAAAAAAAAAAAAAAAAAAAAAAAAAAAAAAAGAGATGATGCTATCAGCCATGACTTTACAAATTCCTCAAATATCCAATAAATAAGACCTACGAAAATATGTTGACCTATATGTTATGCCTCCATTTTTAATCAGGATTTTTCAATCATGAAGGTACATTTTTTTTTTCTTTATAGTACAATACAGTCAACTTTTACATTCTTTCTTCTTGCTTATGATATGTGAATATGATATTTATACAGTGAATGTGAGAATCAGATATTTTAAATAATTCTACAAAAAATGAGTTTAAACCTTTTCTAAAGTGGATGTAATCTGAGGTTTGCGACTGCTAAACAATTAACTCCCAAAGCAGTCACTATAGTGATTTCTAACAAAACTACATGTTATGTGATAGTTCTGTATGTTAAAAAAAATATGATTTTCTTTTCACTTGATGCTAGCAACCTTCAACCAAGTATTACAAATATTGCTACATTTTCTTTGCAATCATTCAGCATATATTTGGCTCAGCAAAAGAACATTATGTTGCTTACTCTGTTTTTATCATGGCATTTGGATTTTTACTTAGGTTGTGTTAAAATTTAAGGTATAGTATTAATGATAATTTTCTGACAAAGTTTTTTTTTTGGGGGGGAGGGGGGTCAATTTATTCACGGATCAATGAAGAGCTCCACTTTCTCTGCTGATCTTGCTAAAAACTGAATTATTTTATAGCAACTTTTTTTCAAAGGTTTTTCTCCTGATATTATTGACCAAACAGTTTTCACCTCAACACATCAAAAAGCTCTAACATTAGGAGATCATAAGAATTCTGTTGTCATTCCTTTCTTTCCATCAAGTTATAAAACTATATGTAGCTTTTCATCAAGCTATTTAGCTATAAAACTACATGTATTTTATAGGAATTCTACTTTAATGTCGTTTTTGCTGCAATTAATGAAATTCACAGTTCCATACTTAAAGATCCCATTCTGAATATGAACTTCTGGAGTATATATAGAATTCCTTGCCAATCTGGCTTAATTTACATTGGTCAAACTAACAGACCCTTAAAATTTTGTGCTAAGGAACATGAGGCACATGTTAAGAAAAAAAGAAACATATAAACCCTCTATTGCACAGCACTTTTTCATTTTTAAACAGCTAAAATTACTTAAAACACATCTTCCCTTGCAAAATCAGACTTTTTAAAGTAATTTCACATTCATAAAAATCTTTCAGTTCCAGTTAATGATCCCTATTCAAATCTGTCTTTACCCTCAGGTTTTAATGAAGTTATTTCATAGTTATTTTCATTTTCTATCAATACATGACACCAGAAGATTGACTTTCTTCCTCTCTTAGTTATTGCCTGAGCAAAGGCTTCTCTTCTGCCACTTGTACTTCTGCAGCTGAAGAAGCAGATTCTATGTTTACATCTTCGAAACTAGTTCTGCAAATTTACGAATATTACACTGATTCCAGTTGCTTTATCATCTTCAATAATCATGAACAAATGCTAAGCAGATGCTCTTATATTATATTCTGTCAGATTGGCATGAATCTTGACAAAATTCACTGTATCCCTAAAGATATTTTAACAATCCCATTCACTTGCATGACTGTTCAAAAAATCATTACAGCCTTAGCTTTTCCAAATTTAATAAAGCTATTCAGAGAGAACATGACAACTTCATACAATTCTGCATTTCATGTGATACTTTCTAAAAATGTATCATTAAATGACAAGTAAACAAATGTTTAAAATTTTAACATTAGAACAACATACAAAATTCGTGTTTACTAAGATGCTCTGTGTATGATTACTACATATAAAGCACTAAGAGAAAAATCCATCAAAAAAAAAAAAAAAAAGTCATGAGACATAATTTTCAAATTTAAAGCACTTTCAATGGTCAAAGTAAAATGAATGATAACAAATGGAAAACAAAAATATACATAAATTTAATATAAACATTGTAAAGAAATACAATGAGAAAATTTTTTCAATTTACTTAAAAAGGACTTAAAATGTAAAATCCTCGTCTTTCACTGCAAAGATTAAAAATTTAATTTAATAGAGAATATATAGATGAAAATTATCTCCTACGAAATGCAAAGTGAAATTTAGAGAGTAAAGTATACTATTGTGGAAATAAAAAATTGGAAATTGCATTTAATGAAACTGGAAGTGGTAATAAAAATGCTTAATAAAAGAATTAAAACAGGACAATCATTGTTGATTCCATAGACAAATTACACTGCCTTAATAATATTGAAAGTAATAACTTCAATGAATTTATTTTAAAACAGCATATAAACTTGATACACCAAGTAATATACCTTTAGAATGGAATGAAAAAGTTTTTAACAGAATAAAGGAACACATAAATAAATTTAAACCTTCGGGAGGTTTAAATAGAAATAAGATTAAGCACAAAATCCAAGCTTTTGTACAAAAATTTACTATCACTAAAGGCAAGTAACAATTTCAGTATTATAAAACACTACAGCTAGCAAATGGAGGTAAAACTCAATCAACTATTACTTACCAAAAAAACACTAAAAAAAAATCTCCATTATACACAAGCTTAATGCTTTCACAACATCACAAATATGTTCCAGCAAAAAAATGCACTCAGGTCCTGGCTGGCATGCTGGCAAGCCAGAGCGTTTTCTCATTCACCCCTGGCTGTCATAGATTTGAGCCAATGTCCTGAAATGTTTTAAAGACCACTAGATGGCATTCTGTTTCCATTAATTTTGAACTGAATATAGTTTTAGGTGTTGATGTATTTAATTATAACAAAGCACACTAGGGCTATCTGCCTAAGGGGAGGGATGCCTTCGTGGAAGACTTTCTAAAGGAAACTGACTAATATACACGTTACACATGTGGAAAACCATGAAAACGCCCATGCAGCCAGCCTGTTTGCGGGATTCAAACCTCGGACTGAACTACCAGTGTTCAGCGACTTTACCACTGGTGGGCCCTAATATAGCTTTAGGAGCCTGACCTTCAGTTTGATCATGTTCTGCATAACATTGGTGTCAACTATTGTGGGGGAGGAGGGGAAGCTTAACGTAAACCACTTTTAACTTGCCACATGCTATAAATATTCATGTTTCTGATATCCCTTCGAATCCTTTTTTCATTCATTTTTTGCCACTATGCTGGGTCTTTTAGGGTTACTCTGTGGGGTTCTATTACGC